TGAACTTCACATTTATTTACTAAGAGTGTCAATTTTAATATTCTATTAAATGAAATATACTACAAAAAGCAATCTGGAGTCAGACTCATACACATAAAACATCTTAAACATTTTAACAATCTATCTTTTATTTCCATTGTTTCCTAAATAAAGCTCTACCTTTGTATTCAGTAGTCCCCTAGGAATTGTGCAGGGAGGTTTAATTATACTAACAAAAGATCTGCAATAAACAACCTGATTTAACCTCTTCAGGAACTAGACAAAGAACAAAGTAAATTCAAAAGGAAGGAAATAACAAAGATTAGAGCAGAAAATAGCAAAACAATAGAAAAAATCAACAAAAACTGTTGAAAAGAAAATATAGAAGGAAAGTCTTGGTATTGATTTTAGCAGTGATCACGGACAAGACACCAAAATCACAGGGAACAAAAGCAAAAACTAACAAGTGAGACTGCATCAAACTAAAGAGTTTCTGCACAGCAAAGAAATGATCAACAGCCTGAAAGCAACCCATGGAATGTAAGAAAATGTTTGCAAATCACATATATAATAACGGGTTAACATCCAAAATATATAAGGACTTCCTACAAATAAGTAGTAGTAAAAAACAAGACAAAACTAATAAAGTGATTTTTAAAATGGGCTAAAGATTAGAATAAACATTTCTCCAAAGAAGACATACAAATGGCCTATAAGTATGTGGGGAAATGCTCAGTGTTACTAGTGAGGGACATGCAAATCAAAGCCACAATGAGATATCACCTCACGGTCATGAAATCACATGAAAATTGAGTGTTGCATTAAATATTTTAATTCTTAAAATGCTGATACTGGCCATAACAAAGATGACAGAAAAAAGCACATACTTTAAATATGTGTAATTTCTACTTCTTTGTAATGATTATTCTCAATGTATCACCAGTACATTTACAATACATTTTAGTATCATCCATATTTTATACCTCAAAAGATTTTTGATGGCTATTACCAAAAACACAAAAGACAAAAAGTGCTGTCAAGCATGTGGAGAGATCAAAACCTTTGCACACTGTTAGTGGGAATGCTAAATGGTATACCTGCTGTGGAAAACAGTATACAGGTTCTTCAAATCATTTAAAATAGAACTACCATGTGTTCTAGTCATCTCACTCCTGGATATTTATCCGAAGAATTGAAATCAGGATCTCAAAGAGATCATTAACACTCTTATACTTACTGTAGCACTGTTCACAATAGCCAAGATGTGGAAACAACTTACATATCCAACAACATGGCTGAAGGAAATGAGGTATTTAAAATAGTTAAATTCACAGAATCAAAGAGTAGAATGGAGGTTTCCATGGGTTGTGGGGAGTGGGTAATAAAGGGTTACTAATTAACGGGCACTGACTCATTTAAGCAAGACGAAAGCTCTAGAGATCTGCTGTGCAACACTGTACCTATAGCCAACAATATTGTACTGTACACTTAAAATGTTGTTAGGAGGGTGTATCTCATGTCAAGTGTTCTTTACACAATACAACGAAACTGAATTTTTAAAAATGAGGTATCACTGCACCCCCAGTAGAATGGCCAAAATCTAAAACACTAGCAACAGCAAATGCTGGTGTCAAAACTTCAGAATTAGCCCAAGTAAAACCAGTGAATCAGCAAAGTGATAGCTAATAAAAGGTTATTGCACACACACCGAAAAGTCCTTGAACCGGGACACTCAAACCAAAACGTGGAATGTGGCTCCGGGGTATGTGGCTATAAAGCAGCTTCTATAAACAGGATGCAGTGACAGCTTATTCTTCAAAGTAATTGGTTCTAATATTAGAATTTTCTTAAATGATACAGAATCGATCAGTGTTTACCTCATATCAAGCTTGGGAAATACTTCAAAGTTTTGCTTACGATGTCCAGCGGTTTTGTCTGCTCAGGGGATTTTCGAGGCTGCTCTGTTTGTTTTTTATTTTAACACTGGCAAGGATGTGAAGCAACAGAAAATCTCATTTGTGGCTGATGGGAATGCAAAATGGTACATGTGTAGCACTTCCTTACCCAACTAAATACACTCTTACCATAAGATCTAGAGGTTATACTCCTTGGTGTTTACATAATCAAATAAGTTGAAAACTTATGTCTACACAAAAGCATTCACACAAATATTTATAGCAACTTTATTCATATTTGTTAAAACTTGGAAGCAGCTAAAGGATAAACAGTGACACATCCAAACAATGGAATATTATTAGGTGCTAAAAGGAAATGAGCTATCAAGCCATGAAAAGACATGGAAGAACCCTAAATGTATATTTTTAAGTGAACAAAACAATTCTGAAAAGGCTACATGCCGTATGATTCCAACTATATAACAATCCGGAGAAAGCAAAACTATAAAGACAGTAAAAAAGATCACTGGTTGCAAAGGATTAGAGGGAGGAAGTAAAAAAATTTAAACATTTTTAAGAAGAGAAAGGCTAACTGATAAGTAAAAGTCAAAAAGCTCAGTCATACATAAAGTCTGAGAGAATTTTTTACGTGCTGTTTGTCATCAATTCATCGAAAACAGCTTCCACTTTTTGCTGGGTTTAGAAAGTGATCATTGCTTGTTAGAAAGAGTTGTGAGAACATAGGTGTCCTTAAATTATAAATGATCTCACTCGGTCCTCCTATTTCAGCGCCCTCCGTCAGTGCCCGTGACACACGCACGTGCACCCACGAGGGCAACGGCACGTTTCTCAATTACTCACAAATAATTGGTGCTTGTTTCCTTCAAACCTTTCACAAGTGTCAGCACACACTGCGACGCTTCTCACACTAGGCTTAGGTTCCATCTTCATCCACTCTGTAAGGCAAGTTGTCATTCTTCCTCAAGCTTCGCACCCACTGACATTTGGTTCACATCCCTGTCTGCCGTTATCTCCTTTTCTGTTCTCTTTGTGTTTGAAGGTTATGAACTTTCCGATTTCTTTACACCCTTTTTAATAGAGTTTCAGAGGGATAAAGAGATAAATGTGAATAAAAATCCCTTCCTCTCTTTCCATTGTTTGGTTAAACATGAGATTCTTTTCCTCCTCTTTTCTTCTCTCTACTTCTCTCTCTATTAGGAACCAAGGTTTTTGGAGGCTATACTCACACAGCACCACCCCTCCCGGACTCTGTCAGGGAGACGTTATGCAGATGACACCTTCTCTGGCACAACCTGGCTCTGTATAAGTATTATGAGACACAGCAGAACCCACCAGGGTGACCTGGAACAACGTGTGGGAGCAGGACTTCGCAAGGATGTGCAAAGGACTGCTTCACTGTTTATGCGGTTCTACTTGAAATTAACTTGGCCCTGGATGAGGGACTATTGGTGTCAGACTGTTTAGAATTTCACTTATGACGAGTTGGGAAAGGGGCAGGGTTACTTCCTCTTCTTATGCTCTAGCCATTGGTGTGATCTTTGTGTCAACCGGAGACTGAGGGACAAACCACCACAGACTGTGCTGGAACCAGAGACGATCAAACAGTCAGAGACACTCAGCACCCAGGCCCCGCCTGCTGCTCAGAGTTTGTGCTCAGCTCCCCCTGCAGCTCCTGTCACTGTGTCACTCAGAGCACAGTAGTACACAGCCGAGTCTGCCCCTTGGACTGAGGCTTTCTCCAAGTGGAAGGAACTTGGTTCTCTGTGGTACGTGGCTTCAAAACCTTTCTTGAGTACCTTCTCCTTGTCCCTTGAGGCTTTCAGGAGGAGCTGTGGACCTTCTCCGGGGTACTGGACGTACCAGAAAAGAGTGGGGTACCTCGCAGCTGAATAATTGCAGTTCATAGTCAGGGCAGCTGATTCTGAAAGGGTCACTGGGCCTTCCGTCTGCATCACTGAGTCTCCACGGGCTCGTCCTGGGCAAGAATAAAATAGTCAATGAGCCCTTGGATATGAAGCTCTGGGATAAAATTATAGTTAAAGATTTTCCTGATGAAACAGAAGAAGGGATACACATTATTAGAGGCATTTTACTTACCGAGCATTAAGAGTACCACAGTCACTAAGCCTGGAGAAGAGTTCATCTCTACAGTGTCGCCTGAATAATGTGCTTGACTCTTACCATGAAGCGATGTTGAGGTCACAGCGAAGGGCTAAAGGGAAGCCTACATTTCCACAGGAAGTGTGTTTGTATTAGGAAGCTGCTTCCCCTGGTGGACGGGGACAGACATGGGGTGCATGTTTCCTAGTCTTGTCCCCTTGGCAGAGAGATGTTCTCATTCCTGACTTTATTTGTGAGGCACATCTCAGTCCTCAGGTGACACTTGGAACCCTGATCAATAACTGTCATAACTTCTCAGATCTGTTTTGTTCTTAGGACGCTCCTGACATCACTGCTGAATCATTATTATTTGAAATGCCATGCTTCCTCAGTTCTAAATTTTATCAAGTGCAAGGAATACTACACTTCTGATGAAAGCCCTTTAGGAAAAAAGTCACACTATCTCATTTATAGTCATCTATTCCTGCATATAGACACCATTAAAAAATATGAATCCTAGCAAGAAAAAAGCATACTTGAAATTACTGAATTTTTACAGAATGATCTGAGATGAATAAATTTTTCCCCCACAATTTCAGTGACACCAAGATAAGGTGACTGGCCCATATGAGACAAACAAGTACTAATCTGACACTCTCAGTGGATGTCTAACCTCAGGGATGCTTTCTGTTACCATCCATCTACCCACATTTCGTTGCCAAACTTTAACCAAATAATTTTCCACCCACTGGGTAGGGGAACCTTGAAGATGTGGGTCTGCATCAAAGCGTGGAACATCAGATAGGACTGTCTTCTTTCCCAGCTTTTCGACTGTTAAAGACATATCAGCAGATATTCACACATCAGCTGATAGTAGAATCAGTGTGTGAGTGATTCAAAATAACGGAGTTTAGAATCCTACCACTAATTTCATAAATCATATTTTCTAGTATTGATGAATTTGTAATTTTTGAAATCTCCCAGATGGTTTTGTTGCAGTCAGTCTAACACCGGCCTATGAGATTTCATTTGTGATCACTGATCTATACCAAGATGGTCATCAAATATCAGGGAGAAAGCTCTGGGATCAGCATGGAAAAACGTTGTCATGATTATACCATTTGTAACTGGTCATTTTCTATGAAGTACCAGCAGCAAAAACAAGCATTTCTTTAGCTCCCTTTTTACGACCATTCATTTTATAAAACAAAAACAAAAAACAAAAATCCTGAGAGCTAGAGGATGAAGCTCTGGAGAAGGACGTATCTGCTGTAAAGCCTGTAACCATGGATCCTCAGACACGTAGATGGAAGCTGAGCTCCGTCTCTGTGCTGGAGTTCACTCTCCACAGATTCACATCAAGGAGCTTCATGAGTCCAGAGTCAACATGGGAATAGTTCCCCAGGGGCAGATTTAAGGAATAAAATCAGGCTCAGATACTGTTTGGGTTCACATATCCCTTCCTTTCTCCTCCACCATCTGAATCCCATTGTCAGAACCTGCCTCAGAACTAAGCTAGAAATGAGTTCTGGAAAAACAGTAAAAACTCCCATTTTCACAGACTAAGAAGAAAGCAAAAATAGGTTGGGATAATGCTGAGTTGAAAATAATGTATCACACATGAATGCAGAAAGTTGTTATCTATACTTTTATTAAAAAAGAAATATAGTTTTAGGCCAATGAAAACTAAAGGAGAAATATTTGCATTTTGGGTGACACGAGAAGACTTATACAACATTGAATGAGGATATTTGTTAAAATTGGATTTTTAATGGCTTCATTGAGGTATAATTGCATAACAATAAGGTGTACCTATTTAAAGTGTACAATTTTATAAGATTTGACCTACGTATATATTTGTGAAGCCACCACCACAATCAAGCTGATGAACATATGCATCACCCCAAAGTTTCCACATATCCCATTGTAATCCTCCTCTAAACGTTCTCCTCACTGCCCATCCCCATTTCCAGGCAACACTATTGTCATTATCAATTAATTTGCATATTTTATAATTTTGTATACATGGGGACATATGTACTTTTTGTTAGCTTCTTTTTTAACATTTTTTTATTGATTTATAATCATTTTACAATGTTGTGTCAAATTCCAGTGTTCAGCACAATTTTTCAGTCATTCATGGACATATACACACTCATTGTCACCTTTTTTTCCTCTGTGATTTATCATAACATTTTGTGTATATTTCCCTGTGCTATACAGTGTAATCTTGTTTATCTATTCTAACTTTGAAATCCCAGTCTATCCCTTCCCACCCTCTGCCCCTCTGGTAACCACAAGTCTGTATTCTCTGTCCATGAGTATTTCTGTCCTGTATTTATGCTTTGTTTTTGTTTGTTAGTTTGTTCTTCTTTTTGTTTTTTAGATTCCACATATGAGCGATCTCGTATGGTATTTTTCTTTCTCTTTCTGGCTTACTTCACTTAGAATGACATTCTCCAGGAGTATCCATGTTGCTGCAAATGGCATTATGTTGTCTGTTTTTATGGCTGAGTAGTATTCCATTGTATAAATATACCACCTCTTCTTTATCCAGTCACCTACTGATGGACATTTAGGTTGTTTCCATCTTTTGGCTATTGTAAATAGTGCTGCTATGAACATTGGGGTGCAGGTGTCATCCTGAAGTAGATTTCCTTCTGGATACAAGCCCAGGAGTGGGATTCCTGGGTCCTATGGTAAGTCTATTCCTAGTCTTTTGAGGAATCTCCACACTGTTTTCCACAGTGGCTGCACCAAACTGCATCCCCACCAGCAGTGTAGGAGGGTTCCCCTTTCTCCACAGCCTCTCCAGCATTTGTCATTTGTGGATTTTTGAATGACGGCCATTCTGAC